CCACTTGTTGAGAAATTTTAATATGGATCTTGGTGATCTTGTACATACTAAAGAATGCTTAAATAGATAATATGGCAGAAGGAAAAAAGGGGTCTATTAACTATCCATTCCTTCTCTCTAGATTCTGTCACTTACTTCCTTAAGCTAAATCACCACAATGTATTATAAAAATAAAATAAATGACATTCTATTAAGTAATTTACATTATCTGCAAGCCCATGCAATAAAAAGTATTACCACTGTGCTAATTTGCTACTACATGTGATAATACACAATGAAGTGTTTAGGACATTGTCTGGCCCATAATTAGTACTTAATAAACATTATCAATATTATTAATATTGTTATATCATTGAACACTGTACAGTAAGAAAAAATAAGCAAATACTTATTACATGTTTGTTTTATACTTAGCACTGTGCCATGTATTTGGATACAAAGAATTAGAGACCATGGTCATACTCTTTAGGAGTATACAACCAGGGAGTTATATAAAATCTAAATGCAAAAAAATTCACTAGGGTATAAAACAGCACAAGAATGTGAAATAAAATATAGTAGTTATGCAAGATATAGTATATCATGAAAAAATGATAGAATTTCTAAAATTTCCAAAAAAAGTCATGAAGACTTCCTACAAATGCCTTAAAGAGAAGGAATGGCACTAAGTGTGTGTTGGGAAAATAGAACAGTTTAATCAGGCCCCCTTGCCTCAGGTCCGGTTGGGTGTGGTGATTAAGACATCAATTTATTAACGCCTGGACTAGGATGATGGCAGAGGCAGCAAATATAAAGGCATGCATCTAAAATTTATTTTGCAGATAGAGTCAGCTAGACTTGTAACTAAATGGATTTTGGGGGCAGAGTACATCACCTTCTATCTACATAGTAGGCTAGAGACGGTTAATGCCCTAGTTAGATGACTAGGTTGAGTCCAGACTGACCACTCGTAGCTACAAGTGGTCCAATAGGCCAGCGTGAAGACTCGTTAGCGGACAGTATTGGGCCAGCCAAGGAAGAGAGAATGTTTTATTCTGCAAAAGATTCAGTAGCTAAGACTGGTAGTCAGAATGAACCCAGTGCCTTTAACAGCAGCAGAAGTATCAAAAATGGCTGAAAGAAATAATTTCTTGGGGCCAGAAAAATATTGGTATAATTGACTGGGATACAGAAATTACCAAGACAAGTCAGTTTTGTAGTGAAAGATAACGAACAATTTATTTTGTTTTTTGCTTTTTTTCTTTTGGGGCTGGTCGGTATAGGGATCTGAACCTTTGACTTGGTGTTACAAGGCTGCACTCTAACCAAAGTTAATGAACAATTTGGTTGTATAGAAGTTGAATTTCAGATAACAGGAAAGAATCTACTGCCTTATGAGTAGCTGGAAATGTGGAATCCATATCATTGAAAAAGGAGTTGAAGCCATGAGAATAAATGAGATTCCACCCACTCCCACTCATCACCCCCACCCACCCAGGAAAAAACAAAATTAAAACTTAGAAGAGAGATAAAGAAAGAAACGCAGAAGAGATAGGAGTCTGAAGGAATGGCCTGAACAGAATCAGATGAAACAGTGGTTTAGGAGACTCCTCCACGTACAAAGCTTTAAAAGCAGAAAGATAAAGCTTTCAGAGTACATTTGCCCAATCAAAATAACAGAACATGAAGAATTATGCCTGATTTTGTGAAAAACTGAAAGATAATGGAAAAAGAGCAGGCCACATGACATAATCCTACCATAAAAGCATTAAAGCATGAGTCAAAGATTTAACCTGCAGAAAGTTATTAATAGGTCCTCCCCATTTGCAAAATATTACAATCGTGCCATGCCAAAGTCAAAACAATCAGACCTGAATTCTCTCTCTCTACCCTGCTTTTTAAAATATGTGGATTTAAAAATAAAAAAAATTAATGATTTCAGTGTGAATTTCAACCTATATCCAATAGCAAATAATCCGTCTCACTGGCCATCCTTTTCAAACTTTGTTGTTATTTATGGAATGTTTTCCGAGTTTTTTTACTTGAAAAACTTGAAAGTTTGAATGCTCAGTAACAGTTGATGTTATTAAGCACAGTCCAAAGATGCCCTATTAACTGACAGCCTTTTAAAAAATTTTCTTATTTTCTTTTTCTTTAAAAAAAAAAAGTTCCATTGCCTTCATAGAAGGTTCATGGAAGCAGTTTATGAGTAGTTGGTCAGGTGTGCCCTTTGACATTCTTTTAGTACTAAAGATTTTTTAGAAATCACCCTCACGTACTCTAAGGCACAGGTTAAACTAGATGCTGGGTTTTAGATGACTCTTTTGCACACGTACATCTGTACATGTATATTTGCATCTATGTTTATGTATTTATGAAGATTTAAGGAAGCCTCTTAAGACTTAGTTCCAACTAGAATGGTTTAAGAGGAAAAAAATAGGCAAAAAGGCACTGCTCTAAAATGAAATTGATGCAAAGAAAAGAATTAGAATTGAAATATTTTTTAAAAATTATGATTTCAATAACAAAAAAAGAGATGAGATACAAATTAAGAAAAACCATGATATTTAACACACAAGGTTAAGAATAAAGAGGAAAAACTATGCATATTATATACCAGGCTCACCAAAAAAGTAAAGTGATAATAGGATAATACAATCATCTGAAAATTACTTTGACCAATAATAACCTGAAAAGCATGTTTGATCTCTTAGCAAATGCCTTTTTTTCCACGTGTCCTTGCATACTGTTCTGTATCCCTGCTCTTCTATCCCTTTGGATGACTCCTCTTCATCCTCCAGTTGGGAGCTCAGGTGGCACCTGGCACAGCTGGGTTGGGTTAGGCATTTCCATGGGCTCTCAATGCCCCTTATGGCACATGCACTTGTGTGCACACCCATTCATGGCACACGTAGCACACTGCCTTATAACTGCTATTTGCTTATCTGTCTCCCATTCGACTGCAGCTAGCCCTAGAGGGCTTGGTCTTTATTTATCTTTTTAATCATCTTTTTAATATCCTATCTGGCAAATAAAGGTTTTGAATATATAGATTAATGAATCATATTCTGTGCCATTGATATGAGTTGAAACATGGCGCTACATCTTAAGAGAAAATCTGGCCACTCAACATACAAAGCTATGTAACTTTTAGGGAGAATTTGCAGGCTCAAAGCTGTCTTACACCTTTATAACATAAGAGGTGAAATCACTTTTGTTTGACCAGCAAATTCATGCTTTCCGCCAAAAACTACCAGTGCTTGGTTTTGCAAGACAAAGAAACCCAAATGGAAAGGTATGAGTTAATATACAAAAGCTAATTCACAATGGGATTTAAACCATAAAAGAGTGATCTCCTGACTATATGGAACTCCTATTCAAGCAGATCGTGTTGTAACTCCTTAAGGAGACATCTAATAGTATGAGACCCAATCCAACTGGGATGGGGTGGAGAGGGGAGAGGACAAAAGTGCTAATCCTCGGATGGATCTGAAAACAGAGGACAAATAACAGCCACCCCAGAATGGTAGTCACTTTCTCACTTTGCCCATCTGGAGTCTTCTTGCTTCAGTAGCTCTGCCTTCTCACTTTCTCAGTTCTAGTCCACTTGTCAAACCAACCTTCCTCGGGAGTGATAGGCACAGTTCACAGGAGGAAGTGGGAGCCCTGTTGGCTGCAGACAGCCTGCTTTCTAGGAACCTACCTGCCTGCAGGAAATCAGTAAGGGACAGGGAACTTCAGGCCTGGATAGAAATTTTAGGCACAGAAAAACAGCAGAGTTTGTTCATTTCCAGCAAGTCACTGAAATTTGTGTGTAAAAAACCTCAGCAGCAAAAGAAATGCCCTCATGTGGCCATTACAGCAAGGGGTATAACTAGGCCTGTGCTGAAAAAATGTAAACAGTATCAACAGACTTTTGAAAACCAGCTTCCAGTAAATTTCACAAATTTGAGTTCTTTAATAAGAATAATAAAAGGGATGGGATACAGGGGCTGGGTCTCTCAGTTGAAACATTAACCTTTTTTTTTTTTTGGTGGCTGGCCAGTATAGGGATCCTGCACCCTTGACCTTGATGTTAGCAGCACTACACTCTTACTGCACTAACTCACTCTAACCAAGTGAGTTAACTGGCCAGCCCTTGAAACATTCTTACAGAATATGGTAGAACTTTAGAAAAGTTATGAGTCATCCACTGGGAAGATTCTGGCAACCTAAGTAAATCTTAGTTTTAAAATACCTGGACATACTGACCAAGCATTTTGCCTTTTCAAGGCACATAAACAGAGTATCCTGCTTTAGTGACTTTGCATAAAGGGACATCAAAGTAAGGTGTTGGCACTAGCCTCCTTGCCCAATGTTCTAGAAGACAATGACCGTTCAATCTTTGAGTGCTCTGATGTCCACTTCCTGGTAAGTCCAGTCCTGTGACCAGCTTTCCAGGTGATTATATGGCAAATACTGAAGTTGCTAACCTTTCACAAGGGCCTTTGGTGACAAGAGAAAAATCAGACACCTCAGCACTAGGTCTTGTGCTTTTCCTGGCAGCACACTGAGAGCATGTGTTTATAAATTCAATAGCAGCACTGTTTTAACATGGAAGGCAGTAAGCACCCTAGCAGTGTGTATTCCCATAACTTTCCACATAAAAAAGAACTGTATGTTTACTGTCCTTGTATTTTCTCAGTTGTAAAATGTAAGCTGCAACATCATTCCACTCATATATGTTCCCTCTCGTGCCACATTAAACTGTGGATTACAATATAATAAGTAAAAATGACCCTAATTCTGAGGTTGGAGTTTATTGTTACTTAAAACTTAGCCCTGTGCTTACATCACATACTGAATTCTGCATCACAATCCATCTGCAGAATTCATAAAGGTACACGAGAGAGCACAGTTATTATAGTGATGCCCATTTGCTCAATGTTAAGTGTCCATCATCCTAGAGATGAAAAAGGAACACTTCATTAAGAGTGTCCCTGAATGATTAAATGAGGGTGTGGGCACAGGGCCTGGGATACCTAGCTGTTTTTCCCGTTCTTCACGTCGTTCCCGGGCTAGCCGCTGCCGGTCATCAACCCGTAGCACAGGTGGAGGGTCTGAAAATGAGATTAAAAACATGAAAGAGTAGATTAAAAAAAATATAGACACTGATAAATATCCTTTTGTCCAGTAAATTTTATTAATAAAATATTACTACATCTTACAACAATTAGTACATATGACTATATTTATAGTTATATACTTCGTAATTATAACTTTCCTGACAATTTCCAAGCATTTTTCTTCTATTTAAAAACATTATGTAAAATCGTAACATTACTGCAGTCTTTTGGCTACTTTGATAAAGCAATATAAATAATGTTTGATGTTCCTAAGCTACCAAACTTTTATTTTTAATGCTTTAAAAAGTCTGTTCCTTAACAATAAATAGAATTCTAACTAAGTGAATTTACATTGAATAGATGTTTACCAGTTAGAGGTGAAGAGCTGGGCACTGGAGTCAGACAGACATGAGCTCAGTTTCTGTTCTGTCGCTCACTTCCTATGTAAATTGGACCAAGTTACTTATCCATCTCTCTAAGTCTCAAGCTATGACGTGAGTTTTTATTTATTATCTGTTAAATGAGGATAAAAACAGAACCTATCTCACAGCATTACAATGATAATGAGAGTATAGTGCCTAGCATGTCAGTCCCAGTAAATCAATTCATTCAGCTCGACGTATATTGAACATCTACTATGTGCTGGGCATTGTTCTGCACACTGAAAAGACAGCAGTCAACTGAAAAGATCTTGGTCCTTGTGGGGTCTACATTCTACTAGGGATAAATGTAATCAACATGATAAATAAGTAAAATATGTAGAATGAAAAAAAAAAAGAAAAATACATAGAATGGTAGACTGAGATAAATGATGAGGAGACAATAAAGCAATAATGGGGATTATGACATGTCAGGAAAAGGATGTTTACATTTTTAGATGGAGCCCAAGGAAGGCCTTACTGTGATGGTAACTTTTATGTGTAAATACATGATGAAAGTAAGGGGGCTAGCTGTTCAGATATTCCATAGAAAGCAAGTGCAAAGGCCGTGAGGTCATGAGTACCCAGCGTGTTCAAGAAACAGGGAGTTCTGAGTGACTGGAGCAGAGTGAAATCAGCAGTGATGGGGCTACGGACAAAAGGGCTGGGGAATGGGGCTCATATACCAAGTTGGGAACTTTTAATTATACTCTAAGTAAGATGTGGGGGTGTAGGGAGGTGGAGGTCCAGCAAAGGGCTACATTTACAGGCTCACTCTGTCAGTTGCCATACAAAAACAAAATAATCATGATCATAATAATAATTACACTTAAGTTTATTTTTCCCTGTACTAAACTGACATTACATTTTTAGGCTCTCATGATAAAAATAGGAACCTACTATAATAACACATTAGGGACAACATAGTAGTGCTTCATCAACAATTTAAAGGCCTTGCATCTCAAATGCCTCAAACTTTACAGAATTTATACATTTCAGGGAAATAAAAATTGCATAAAGTCCTTTAGAGATATGCAAAAACCAGGTGGTGTGGATCATGAGCAGGGGTAGGTGATAAGTTATACTTTCCCTTTGCTTTTTTTTTTTCTTTTTATCTTTTTTACTGACCGGTAACGGGATCGCAACCCTCGGTGTCGCGCCCGCACCGCGCTCAACCAGTGAGCGGGAACTGGTCTCCACATGGGATCCGAACCCTCGGCGGGAGCGCCGCTGCGCTCCCAGGCGGCGCACTCTCCAGTGTGCCACCAGGCCGGCCCTTTCCTTTTGCTTTTAGGTATGGTTTTAAAAAACTTACTAGCTCACATTCATTATGATAATTATTGTTCAGATTTCCTAATCATTTATAAAGTTCCAAATATTTTTTATATAGGAAAATATGGCCCTGTCCTCAAAAGGGCATGTGTACCCTCTCAGGCAATTTGTTAAGGGCCATCCACAGGGGGGTTTTGCTGTCATTTGTTTTTGGTGAAAGGAAGTGATGGCCATGACAAAATGGTATTTTTTTTCTTTTTTTCCTTTTTGTCTTTTTTCGTGACCGGCAACGGATCGCAACCCTCAGTGTCGCGCCCGTACCGGACCGGGACCGGCAACGGGATCGCAACCTTCGGTGTTGCACCTGCACCTCGCTCAGCCAGCGAGCGGCCGGTCTGTATGTGGGATCCGAACCCTCGGTGGGAGCGCCGCCGTGCTCCCAAGCGGTGCACTGTAGCAGTGCGCCACTGGGCCGGCCCACAAAATGGTATTTTGAAGAAAGAAGGAACTGAGAACAAAAGTCAAGATGAAGTTATAAGAAAGACTTTAATGATTACTTACCACTTAAATAATATTGCTTAAATAATGAGGTGTACTCACTCATAAAAATTTTAATTATAAAAGTTGAAAATCACAGTTAATACATACTAATAGTTTTTGTTCTTATGTTTTTAACTGCTTAGGTCTATTTGAATGTACGGCTGAAAATTCATCTGATGGAAATGCTTGTATATATTTAGAGACCCAATTGCTCCTTTGGAGCTTGTACATTCAAGAATTATTAATCTGTATAATAATTAATAAACTGATTACTATAATCATTATATATAAAAAAAGAAAGACAATCAACTTTATTTATAAAAGCCATATAAGTGTATTATAGAAAGTCTGTAAAATAGAGGGCTTTGTTACTTTTTAAAATTACCTTGAGAAATTCTGTCAACAGACAACATATCAATATGAAGTATGTGACATTTCTAGCTTACTTTCAAATACATGCCAAATTTCTTGCAAAATTTTTAGAAGGTTTTAATAATAACATATGGGACATACACACACACCCCTCACCTGCACTGACCCTGAGAGCCCCAAGTCATAATGACGACTGGGGCTCTTATAGTAATAAGGCAATTCCCAATTATGCAGTGTAATGCTTCCCTTTCAAATGCCCTTTAGATACATAGTCAGAAAATAGCAGTGCAAGAGGTGGCATGGTTTTCTTCTGATTTCTATGCTATCATTTCATATGAAAATTATGCTTTTCACATATAACAAACTGTATCCCATCTGATAATATGTAAGGGACAAGGTTGTATACAGTGCTGCACAAACATATCAATTAATCACTATAAATAAGGCCAATGCTTAGGACTACAATAGTTCCCATGGTCCTCCTTTGAGATCAGTCCTGAAATGACAATCACTACATCTGGAATTAGATTTGAGGAAGTAAAGAGCTAGCAACATTTTTAAGGTATAAGATGCACAGTGACTGTGCTGTGCTACATGATTTTGTTTGGCCTAGGAACACCTGGCACTAGAAAATACTGAATTGTAGAAAGAAACAGTGATTCCATTTAAATTCTTTTTCCATCAATAAGAAAGTCACTAAGGTGCTGGAATGTCACTAACACCTGTGGCAGATTAAGGACAGCTGTGAGTGGGGTTGGGGAGGAGCAGAGGCTTGTCTGTTTTGTTCGCTGCTGCATGCCCAGTGCCTAGGCCTGTACCTGGCAGAAAGAGGAGTTACTCTGCCTATTTTTCAAATGAGAAAACTGAGAGAAATAGATATGACTAGTGAAGATGGCACAGTCAAGTGTCCGAGCTAGGGATTAAAACCAAATGTCTAACTCAGTCCTGTGCCCTTCCATCCCCATGGCAGCTATGGCATTACTGGAATGGTGTGATGTAGCAGTCAGAGAAGGGCCGGGAGATTCCAAATCATGCATTCATTCCTCTGTGAGGGAAAATTACTTAGGATGAGGTAGAATGAAGTTTTTGTGGCTCTTTTAAAGACTTGTGGTGAGAGGTAGCAGAGGAATAGGAATTAAGAGGGACTTGCAATGAATGAATTTCTGTTTTTCTCAGGTCCTTGGGGGGAAAAAGGCAATTTTCTCTTCCAATTGGGTCATACTATTAATCATTTGTAGGTAGCTGATGGAGTTCTCAAGAACCATCTCCCACTTCTTTAGGAACTAGCAGACATGGACAAATCAAAAACTTTACCAACTGTCTCTTCTGGTCTGGGTTCAAGTATTCATAGCTGAGAGCAATGGTCCTTCCTGGACAACAGGGGACACAGTGTGCCCATACTTATATCACACCAGGAGGGATGTTGTTTTAAATGTAACATGTTTTAAATGTAAAAACAGTCACAATTTGAATGTGGATAAATGCTTCCTAAATTAAAGAGATGTTCTGAAGCTTTCTGATGAGTTTCAAGAATCAGAAGATAAAGAATGGAGGGAAAAAAATTAGCTACAATTTACTGGGTTTGAAAAGGGACTCTGACAAATCATTTGGTCAGGATGCGCATTTCTGGTTAGGACAATACTCAAAATATTCCAAAGACTCAAAATATTGTATTCCTTTCTTCTTTCTAAGTTCTAGAAAACAAACAAAAAAACTCAACAAACTGCTTTAAATGGACATTCCTGTGACTCATATCCCATAAAATCAAAAGGTTTTAGTCAAGCTCTGCCCTACAACATGTACATCTCACACCATCCTTTGAAGAGATTCAGCTAAATAACATTGTGATTTCTAAATTAAGAACCATTTATATACATTTGCTTATCTGTTTATACAAAAAGGCAGACACAAGGATACTCGAAAAACACAATCAGAAATGAAATGTCTCCTCATTTAACTTGACTTTAGCAATATAAATCATATTGTTCTATAAAGACATGGCCCCTCGGGGTGGAGATTTACTGGCCTCTGTGCTCTCCACACGGTGTGCACACCTCTGTCATCACACTGGCAGCTCTGTGTTAGGATCTACTCATATACTGTCATACTCCAACATACTGTCAATGAGAGGGTAGGGATTTATGTGATTTAACAATACATCCCTAGTACCCCCATGGTGCTAACACTAGACGACTACATGAGTTATCAGGATATAGAAGTACAAACTGCACAGTAAAGAATGGTAGAAATTAGAAGCAATGGTGGATGAGGAGAGCCAGAGAAATACAGTACAAACGACTTAGCTATGCTGAATTCTCATGGTAAAACAAATGGGGATTTCGTGTTAAAGAACTACTTCACAGGCATGCTCACTTGACTATAAGGAATGAAGGTCCACTAGAATAAACTCCAGGAGAACGGGCCATGGAGCTTGCTCATACCGTACCCCTCACACTCCCAGGCATAGAAGAAGAACTTAGAAAATATTAGATGGTGGTCAGAAGGTGGGTGAATAGATGGATGGATAAATGAATGAATGAAATGGCAAGCTAAGTGGGGAAATCTCACCCTGCTAATTAAAACATCATTGAAACTGCACATCATTTTCCACTAATGGCTGCTCAAGCAATACTTTTAACAGTACTTATTGTCTTTCCTCTATATCGCAAGCCAGATTTATCCACTGTAGTCAAAACCTTTTCTACATGGGGGAAAAAAAAATCATGAAACTAAGTATAATGACAAATGTTTTCTATGAGGCTAGATCCAGTTGTTTCCATCTTTATTTTCACTGATTGATTCACTACTCTTGAGTGACTTTGGCCTTGGATGCAGCACAAAGTAGGCTTCCAAGAACCTTGTAGGATATTCAGTTAACTTTACCTTCCTTTGTCTCTTATCATCATACTATACATTCATTCCTCCTAAGGACCATGGTTGTTGGAAAGCTGGAAGCAACTGCACTGTCTATTCAATTGTTGGTATTATGTTTACAGACTATTTGCTTTTTTCTTTGTATCACTGGAACAGACCATGAATCATAGGCTAATGAAATTACTGTGTAGGTGTACAATCATTCCAGGGAATGGAGAAAAAACCATATTTCTCAAACAGCTTTGCTATGTGTAAAGATTTCTTCAAATGGTTTTTGAAAAAATTCACAAGAGATATGCAAAAATGCTATACACACTGTACAAAAAATTATGTCATATCTGTCATTCCAAACAGAATAGTACAATTATTAGCTCTTATACACTGCTTGACAGTAAACAAATGCATCCACATACACCATCTCATTGTCAAATGCTGCTAAGAGGTAAGCAGGCTATGTGTGTGCATCTCCATTTTAAAAAAAAGCAAGGCTTCAAGAGGTTCTCAGACCTAAACTCATATGAACCAAGATCAGCATGTGTTTCGGTGGCAGGACTGGAACCTCTCCTAAATTCTAGTTTTGTTCAGTTTACAATTCATCAGCATGCTTTTAAGGCTTTCGAGATAACTTTCATTTTCCCATAGTAAATGCAGTGCATTGTACCTGGTTTACTTCCTGAGTGGTTGGTATTTTGTCCTGAAATTGCAGAGGAGGGGCGGTTGGAGGCAGTTTTCTTTTCTTGCACTTTATAGCTGTCAGGTGCTATACAAATGAGACAAAGGAGAAATGACATATTAAGTTTCTTAAAATTTATTCAGAAATATTTACCTATTCAACATTTACTGTTAACCTTTGTTATCAAGTACTAGGCTAGATTCAAGAAATGAAAAGATGGGGTAGTTACCACCCCTGCCCTCAAGGAGCACACCGTTCAGTGGGAAGGACACATCCAAAAATCAAGGGCTCAGTTCAAGTGACCAATCCTATAGTTGTGGCACAGGGTCCATGACGAGCATTCACCATGGCTGTCCCAGTTTACACATAAAGCAACCACGCACAAGTATGGCTTCAGTCTTCACCATCAGCTGAGGCTATTCCATGCTTCCAGCTGATAGCAAAAGGCCCCGGAGTCTTCCTTGACTTCTCTCTTTGTTCACTTCCTATATTCAATCCATAGTGAATTCTTTCAGCTTTACCTTAAAAAAATTTTTTTTACCACCTCTACTACTACCTTTCTGATCATCTCTTCCCTGTGTGACTACAATATCCTCTTAACTAGTCTATCTGATCCTGCCATGAACCCCTCCCATCTATTCTCACCTCAGCAGCCAGTGATTCTGTTAAAACACGTCATGCTGTTCCTACCTAGAGTAAAATCTAACCAAGATCTCTACCATGGCCTAGAAGGTACTATGTGGTTTGTCCTTTACCTTGTACCACTTTCCCTCTTACTTACTCTGACTTAACTCCGTAATCCATTGCAAAATATGGCTATATTTCTTTCTTTTCTTTTTTTTTTTTTTTTTAAAGATGACTGGTAAGGGGATCTCAACCCTTGACTTGGTGTTGTCAGCACCACGCTCTCCCAAGTGAGCGAACTGGCCATCCCTATATAGGGATCTGAACCTGTGGCCTTGGTGCTATCAGCACCACACTCTCCCAAGTGAGCCACGGGCTGACCCTAAAATATGGCTATATTTCAATGACATATAATATTTGCTAGCGTGGAAAATCATAGACTAAATAGTATTGTACATAGCTGTTTTTCAATTGCTGTTTCAAACAATTTGTTTGCTTCAGATGACAGCTCCAAACACAAACATTGATTGGTTTAAGTGTTACCACTTAAGGAGAACTCTCTCTGCCTTTTTTGCAGAGAAAGGTCTGTAAAGATACAGTGGAGAATGGGCAGACAGCAAATCAAAAATTAAACAGCAAACGGCCTCAATCAGTAGTTTCTAATAGGACCTTGTCACTTGAGAAAATTTTACCAGAGAATTCGCAGTGCATACACACCTGTGCTGAGGGATGAGGGAAATGAAGGTGAGTGGAGCCAGGGGAGGCCCTGACCTTGCCCTGGGAGAAGTCAGAGTGTGACTGGTTTTGCATGCTGTAATACCTGCTTTCATCCCACCTGCCAGCATCACATGGCCAGCGGTCGCCACGTAGCGGGTGAACATCACACTAGTTAGTCTTGGTCTATCGCCTGACAACTTTAGAGGCAATCCCTGAAAGACCAAAAATTAAGTACAGTTGGAACTTTTCTTGCTCACTATGGATAGAACAGCCTTTCCCCTTATTCTGCAAGTTAATCTTTTTAAAACTGCTCATAAAGAAGTTAATACTTAAGAAAGATAGAAAGAAGTAGAGCGCCACAGAGATCTGGAGTGATTTGTATATAATTTTCTTATTTTACAGCCACCTCCAGCACACAACAAGTAAAGCTTTAATTACCAAAGATGTTTAGTGATCTTCTATTTATTATTTTTAGTTAACTACAATGTAATTAGAACCACTGGTTTAGAATATATTTCAAATGTATTCATTTCTTTCTTGCCTTGGTGTACTCGGTATCATTTAATCTTACTCTGGTGATTGAATCTCTTCAGTACCCTCAGGTCCTGACAACAAACATCAACCCTAACTGAATATTATGTAACAGCAGACCATGAAGGAGACGAAAAAGACCCCAACACATGTTCAGTACAAGTCACTTTTCTGAATAAGCCCTGATAAAAACTTCCCCCACACCACCCTTCTGGGGCTGTAATTTGCTTTACTGTGCTGAAATTCAAATATAAAAAATTTCAATTCACCTGGAGGGCTGGTTACTTGAACGCCAATTTGTCTACACCTGACTTTTACTAGATCCACCCTAATTGAACGTCAGATGTTTATCTGCCTACTTATTACCATCTGGATGTCGGGAACTCATTTCTACCCCCGAAGACCCTCTGAGACATACTCATTACAAGACAAACTTAAATCCATCTTAAAATTTTCCTATGTTCATGTAAAACTGATAGATTAAATTTAGTAAAATAAAAATAATTTTTAAAAATTGGCAGGCTGTTTAGTCTAAGATCATATACTGCTAAAGTTTTCAGGCTACCTTTCTGCTTTTATATCAGTCTTTCTCTTCCACCACTATAAGAGTCCACATTTCTTCAACAACTTCTTTGGTTAACACTATATCATGATAAGAGCAAAAGACAGACAGACCTGGGTTCAAATCTAAGCCTTGGTACTTACTACTTGAGTGACCAGAAAGTTACTTGACTTCTCCAAGTAGGTAAAATGGGGTGATACTGCCTAACTCACAGAGTTGTTGGAGGATTAATGGAGAAAGTGTATATTAAGAATCTACTATGGGGCTTGGCACACAGCAGGTGTTTAACAAATATTCAGGCCCTTTTCTCCCAACTTGTGCACTCTCTGCCAGAGTTCTTGGGTTTCCTACACTCATAGCACCCAAGCAGGTTAGCTGTGTGTTTTGGAGTCAGCAAACCTGGCTCTGCTGTCAATGAGCTGTGAAACCTCACCACGTCACTTAACCTCTCTAAGTCTTCATTTCCCCATCTCTGAAGAAGGAAAACACTTAGCTTTATGGTTGTGAAAATAAATGAGATAATATACAGAAAGGAGCTCATGGCCTGTCCCTTGGCAAGGCCCAATAAACGGGAGAAAGTCATTTTGGCTTTCTCCCTATTCCCTCCACATGTAGGAAACAGGGTTTCTATTTCCTCAGGGCTTTGAGGTAAAGCAAACCTATGCTAACTTGGTGACAGTGGCCTTGGGGTGCAAATGATCAATGTGTCAGGAAGGACCAGCTCAGCTGCTGGTTTCAGAGGTTTTCAGCTCAGCTACAACCTTACCATCTGGGGGCCTTGAGGGAGGCTGAACTTATTGGTATGATTTTCAGGGTAAACCCTGGTTTAGGAAGAGGTAGTCAGTCTTTCTGAGGTTTGGAGAGATGACAGCTTCCTTAGATCTAATGCCCTTCATTACACTAAGTAAATATGAGCCTTTAAAAAAAATCCTTAATTATGATAGTAGGAAAATAAAACCTTGTGAGAAGTTGTTTTAAAAAAAAAAGTACAGGAAATTTTACTACTTAAGAACACAATGAAAACAGGAATTTATTCATTTTCAGATTTCCAAAAGTTAAAAATCTGGAAATCCTAGGTAACTAGCAGATAGTAAATTTGAAAATGGTATATGAAATCCTATTTTTAAAAAATACCATTTTAGGGCCGGACCCGTGGCTCACTCGGGAGAGTGCAGCGCTGGGAGTGCCGAGGCTGCAGGTTCGGATCCTACATAGGGATGGCCGGTGCGCTCACTGGCTGAGCGTGGTGCGGGCGACACCAAGCCAAGGGTTCTGATCCCCTTGCCAGTCACAAAAAAAAAAAAAAAAAAAAAAAAATTTAAAATTACTCAGGTGACTTTCCAGTATTATTTGAATCTATTTTCTTTCATTAAAAAAAAAAAAAAACTAATGAGCCATTTACTAGGATGCTCAATAAGTCTTTGCTAACCTTATGAAATCTTTATTGATTTTCCTGCTAGCTTGAAAGCTTTATTCCATTAGTGTCACATATGAGAGTGTTGGAGTAAAGACAAGAGGAAGGATACAGACAAGCACCTTTGTGGTCTGGTACTCCAACTTTCTCTGATGTGCTCTAAAACAAAAGATAGAGGCAGCAGACATTTGGAGCCTTTCTCTAGTAAAAATTCTGGAGTTCTGGTAAGTGCCACAAACATGGCTGTACAGTCCACATCCTCTAGGATTCACTGCATTCCTTGCAATGTCTTCCCATAGGGGTCACGGGGTTCTCAGAGCTTTGTTCCTACTTCTGGCTTTATGGTCAGAGAGACTGAAGAGCCTTCTCTCAATTGGTCAAAATAACGCGTCCAACAAATGACCTGTAATTTAGTCATAACACTTGCCCTGAGACATTTACAACTACAGCCTTGGGACCGTCCTGAGTTTAAATCTCACTGGATGATATGTGGACTGTATTTAAGTCACTATTTTCAGTAAAATATGGAATGTGAGCTGGGAAACAGCAAAAGTGCAAAAAAGCTCTGAATAAATGTTTCTTTGTGACACTGTTCAATTGGACTCTGTAGACATACAGCCCTCAGAACATATTCCTATAGCTTTGTGGTCACTGTTTTGGGAGAGTTGACCTAGAACACAGAACTAGATGTTGAACCACATGAAATGGCTTTTTTTTGTAGTAAAAAATGGTTGAATATTAGCAATTTCATATGTTTCAATTTAATAGCTTCAATCTATCTGTGTAGACAAGAGTTAACATAGCAGGCCTGAGACTGCTATCCTTATATTTATTTCACACATTTTCATATATATTTATTCCTCATATTTATTTATTCAAATACACATGCCATTAATACTAATACATAGTAATATAACATTTGAATCATTGATATTAAATGTTTAACCAATGATATATATGAAATTTGCATTAGAACCAGAAGGAAATAAGGCAAGCACATAACTCCCAATGACTTTTCTGAATATTCCACATAATGAAGAGCTTCTCTTTCATTTAAATTTCTCATAATTATGTGCGAAGTTGTGTAGTAATGATCAAAGCTTATTTCCCACATTACCTCAGTTTTCTTCCTACCCACATTTATTTAAATAGCACCCTATTCGGTGGGATACCGTGCTCAGTACTGGAAATAATATTTAGTGATTAATGGATCTCCTACTTTTTTTCCTTTTCTTGTCC